GTTTTGATTAACAAGAAGGCCTAACGAAGCCATCATTTTGTCCAAGATTTACTTCGATAGTCAAAAGTCATTTGACACTGAATATGAAGTTCGTTGAGTCGCCTCACCTGGAATCAATGGAAAATGGCTTATAGCTATGTGTATATTGATGTTAGGAGGTAGTCCTTGAATTATTCACACGCCTCCGTTATTGATGAACACATGATGAATATTCGTGTTTCATACATCCTGGCGGCAGATTAATTTTCTAGACATTAATTCAAAGGAATTGACCGACTTGAGGATTGTAAAAAGAAAATTTTTATCTTAATTGGATCTTAATTATCTATAGCTGGCTGTATCTATGCGTGCATACAAGTCTTGGCTTGTGGGTAGAATGCGCGTGTGTTTCACTCTCAATGCGTTACCAACTCGGGTTTTGACGATTTGCATAAGACGCATAAAATCCTTTATTAACTGTGATATGCTTGCATGCATCAGGTGGCATGGACGGAAGTAATGTATGGATTGGGCTTCTTGCCTCTGACTAGGTTGTGGCTGTCTGTTAGTAAGTTTGGACTTAGAATTGCTAGGAATTTATTTACGGTGAAATTCATGTCAATTTAAAGAGAGAATAAAGATCCTTTGTTTAATACTGGCTTTCATAAACTCGTTGCTATTCATAACTTTATGCGTATATTATAGGGGCCTTGATTTTAATAGAAAAAAGGCTATCTTAAAACAAGGCTATTTGCAGGGTCTATGAGCCAATAGGTCTGAAAGTTCAGAGCTTATGCTAAATGAGAAGCGAACTTGGCGTTTTGCCAAATAGCATGCAATCATTACGAAAAGTTGCACCTTATTTCAGAATTAATTCACCAACTTGATTGCAGGCACTAAACAAGATTAAACTATGCTTGCTAAGTACGAATAAGGTGAAGGACATGAGGAAATCGCCGAAAAAATGATGCTGAAAGGGATAGCCCAAGCATCGGTCTTGCTTCTAAGTTCAATTTTGCTAAAAGATAATCGGAACAAATTTAGACGCACGAAATCACACAAAGTCCATCAATTAGGCTTAGTGCAGGCACACATTTAATTCATCGGCGGATGTCATGCGTCTGACGCAACTATACATCGTGGCAGAGTCGTTAAACTTTGATCGTTCGAAGCTGGAATAAGAATTGGCATGAGCATGGCGAGCCGAGCATGTGCACACGCTCGTAGTCATACAGACAAATAGAAAAATCAGGTTATGCCCAGTTAAGATAGATTCGCTGGGAAGTCTTGACTTAATGTTGTGTTGAAGTTGTGTTAAAAATGATATCTTACTTTATAGACATCTAATGCATGATACCCATGGATCCTGGAAAGAAGGAATCCATTCTATGGAGAAATGCAAGGTGCTCAAATACGACTTTGTGCCAAAAGTCATCAATCGCATCTGGTGGTTTTTCATCCAAAAGCTTTATCAATTAAGGGATGTAGGTAGGCGCTTGCAGACTATATGCTAGGTTATATGAAAAAAATGCGTTTCAAGGATTCTCTCAATAATGTTATATCCTCAGACATTTCATTAAAATAAAAACTCGGCTGGAAAGCAATATCGAATTGGTCTAGCTAGGGTTTGAAGGAGGAAAATCGCCTTGATGTTACAAATGTTGAAATATAACAAGTTATTCTGGCTCCGTGATATGTTAGATTTTTCCAGAAAATCTAACTATGCTTTCTGGACATTCCACCAAACAATAAACCAAGAGTGATGATAAGTTATGATTCCACCTATGACCTAATTTTATCGACTTTTCAGTATCGGAACGACGCGGCGAAGGCTTATTCTAGTCACAACTCTACACAATAGTCCTTCGACTTTCGGTGGGGCCAATTTACGACTGCATTTCAGGTACCTCTTCAAACTAAATAGCAGGTACACCAATATATGACGAAGTGTCTTTGTTTGCTTATGTGATGAATCTAAGGTGGAAGTAGATCCTGTTTTACAGTCCCGAAGAAATCTTAAACAAGTTTTGCCCAAGCTGGTATTTCCTCCATAAGTTTTTTACTCTGCTTCCATATAACTGCAAGGTGTGTATGTATAGATGTTAAATAATCACCTTATAATCTGGAAGGAGTCCTATTGGAGGAAAGGCTAAGGGAAATTTAACAGCATGCTGGTAACTATTCATTTGATTGCACACAGCGATCTGCTTAAGGCAGATGCCTAACCAATATGTACCGATCTTGATGCAGGGTCTTTAAACAAACTGGCTAGAATGCAAAACACAAGTACCGCCTGGCCAAAGTCATTTCACCTTTCCTAACATGAATGTTTATGCAATTCATTGACTTGTCTCGAGAGCTGAATTGTATTGTCAAAAACTTTCCGGAGCACTTGACGCTCAAGGTTTATATGATGCATCTTATTTATATTAGTCTCCACAACTCTGCGACATGAGTGCCACCCTTCAGGAATTTACGAATAAGTCACATGGAGTTGCTATCTGAGCTTTACATAAAACTATATTTACTATAGTATTCGTGGCTATAATGTGCTTCAACCTAAGTTTGACGAGCTTTTATTAATGCTCTTCTGCGCGACGTCTAAAATGATTTATTTGCTCTTAGGATGCATTACTGCAGCTAAATCAATGCTAAAGGAAAAGCTGTGATCGGATTAGCTTGAGGGCATGGCAAAACTGAAAAAAGAAAGGTGGAAATTTCATAGTGACTATTTATTCTGGAAAATAAACACTTTTCATTGGCGACATTATATATTCAGAGTAAGGATGCTAAAAATCAGAACTACGAAAATAAGGAAGATACGCGAAAAAAGGTGAAATTTAACAGATTAATGACACCAGCAAATTGTTAGCCTGTTAGGCTCGGAAGGCTATCAATTTTTTCAAGGACACATTTATAGCACAGAACGAATGGCTGTAATTGGAAAAACATATCAATCAATGCTAATCGTAATACACTCGTCTGAAAAAGAGGCACAACCGGACGAGCCTAAATTCATGATCATTCGTAACATTGAAAAAAAAGCATATTTCACCTGGCATAGAGCCTGTGTAGAAGAGAATATGAACGGTAAACGGATTCAAGAACTTTATTTGGTGTATTCTGTATGTAGTTACCTCAGCATGATTATTTGAATACAAAATAAAGCATCCCACTTGACTCAAGCTCGATAAGCAAAAGCTGCGTAAGAGAGCAAAGAGAACAATTTGATGTCCGACTACCGACATGAGTATATTCAATACAATTAATAAGATAGGAAAGTTAATCAGCCAAAGAAAGGTTCGACAAGAAATCAAGAACGCAAAACGGCATTCTATATGAAATTTTGAATACACAGACAGTAAAAAGATGTATCGGAAAAAGAGGACGCACAAGGAATAATGAGCAGAAAGTAGGCGAAGAATTCAGCCACAAGATTAGCTCACGAAAGCTCTTGTGATCACTATTTATTTACATTCACACTAATGCTTGCACCAACTGTTTCGTGCGCATACTAGCCGCAGGGTTAAAGGATGATAATTACTCTGATGCATAATGCCATAATCATATTGAGCATATTTTTCCCCAAGTATTGGATAAAAGAAATCCTTATAAATTCTGGGAATGTTGATGAAAGAAACGTTCAGTAATGACAAAGGATAAAATTAAGAACCCCGTAATTTAGTTTCCACCTGGAAGCTGGTAAAAAAATCGGCATGGGAAAGGAAATATATCATGAGAATTGATTGAATTCCAATTCCCTTCATATTGCCTATGGTTTTGGAATAATGTGTAGAGGAATGGGCAACTTTCTACAAAAGAGGTAAGGTTAAATTGTGCCCTGGATAGGGTGGGGAAGTAATTTTGCTTCATGGTGGATAAAATATAAAAATGACTGAAAGAAAGTTCTCTTGACGGATAAGAAGGTCTAATGTTGTGGTAAAAAAAGAGGTTTCACGACTACCAGGTTGTGTTTAGCGAATGCCAGTTGTAAACATGATAGCTGGTCTGACACCTTGAAGAATAGCAAGTAGGCATTTGCAAGTCTTCTGGCCAGTTTGATCTATCAAAAGGATTGTAATGCAACATTTGGACTGGGATCTACATGATAAGGTGGTGTTTTGCTTGTGCGCATATCGATAGATGTGACATGCTCAGAGAAAAAGAAAAGTTTTGCACATTTAAGACAAAGGAAACGAAGACAGAGAAGTTACTAACATTCATAGATCGCTGAAAAGAGAGGCAAAAATTTAGGCCTCAAAAATGATTCTGATTAACTTGTCCCGATAGACGTAAGAAATTAAACGAAGGGTTAGATATAAATTGCATTTATGTACAAAACCTGGAAACCTGGCCTACAAAATACTCAGACATAATAGGAAATGAGAAATAACAGGCCAAATAAGAAAGTAAAAGCCGTTGTATAGACTAGTTATAACTATCTGAAGGACGCAATTGCAGAAATTAGGGAGGCAACGTGATAGGACGCAGTACTAGGCTCAACATTTTGTGAATATCATTATCAGGAAAGCCCTATCAGAGACGAAATGAGCCAGTATCGTACTTATACTTTACTCATTATATGGCATTTATGGAGGGTCTCTTCTTATCTTACTCAAACTCTGATATTTCTTTTCGCTTTGGACAGCCCGACTAGCTTGATCCTCTGGCAATTGACAGTCTATTCCGCTGTCCTTACCTTATTACTTTGACCAATCTTGTCGTTCTCTCTAATTCACAGCCGTACTGATCACCTGTTCTGTTTCCAGGGTCATGTTAAACTGAACCAAAAACAGTCACATCATTCGTCTATCTTTCGTATTACCACTTCGCTGTCTCCTATTGTATCTTCATCAATCTCATCCAACTCGTTTGGATCACAGAAGGTAACAGGATTTGCTGACAAGACCACAGCTGCCGCTTCCGCATCAAGTCGTTGCAACTCCGCATAGTGATTGAGCTGGTAAATGGCGGGCTTAACGAGGGCATCCTGGCAAGGTAACAAAATAGAAATAATGGGGAAAGGGTGAACCACAAAAGTTATGTCTCTGACATAATGGCCATTAATTGGCATCAGTCAGTAGAAACATTAATTAAATTACTAAAGAGATATTTCAAAATGTCATTGTAGCTAATATTTATTTTTACTAATAGCTTTTTGAGGGATGAACTAAATAATTAAAGTTATGATAACTACTACGGCAGACGACTTCGGACAAGGTGCATCAAAATAAGTCCCCCTGACAATAAGACAAAGTTGCGAAAACGAGGTCAACCCACTTTAATACATCGAAAGGAGACTGCGAACCGACCGAGGGTCACACCATCTTGGTTTTCATATCTTCGATTAAATAACTAAAGTTCACTTTTTAGAGAAGAGATTCCTTAAATCAACCACTAGGTCTTGGACAGTCTGAAGCGACCCAAAATGTCTATTGTCCTTTTTCCTACGTTTTGCTGAATTTATTATTCGGAGAACTCAAAATTGCCTAATTCATAGGCTATTTTGCATCTAAAATAAAAATTCACTTCACCATACTTATATAGTGTAATTTAACGCATCAGTGTGAAAGGCATGGAAGCGAGCTAAAATGTGCCATTTAAACAGGAATAATTCCCTGATAACTAATAAAATAAGTAAATTAACTTAGAGTCAGGTATTGCATTCTAGGATTAAGGATATTTTGTACAAGGGCAGCATTCCCGCTAAGCCGCATAAAATGTACCAAAAGGTATCAAACCTGGGTGGTACAATGTATATTTTAGACATATTGCCACTAAGCTGCAGACAAGGACAGACTCGGGCTTTACTGAAAGCGAAACTTCCCTCATATCACAATTAAGGTTGAATCATCAATGAGGCAAACTTGTATTCTGGCACTAAAATTGACTGCAGTACTTATAACCAGAATTAGGGCGTTTCGTGACAATCACAAGTTCTCGTTTAAGAGATCTATTTATAGTCACGTAAACTACTCATTTTGAATATAAGTAACATGCTCAATTGTAATGACAAAATAAATATTTGTCTCATCAACCATCCCACTTTAAATGTGATACCAGAGAGACCTGACATACTTTTAAAGTCATGTCTGTTGTGTAATCCGATGGCACCAGTGGCTTTACGGCTTAACTGTAACATGTTGAAAATATACATTACACTCAGGTTTGATTCCCGCGGGTGGTATTTATGAGATCCATACGAGGTCGAAACTGCGATGCTCCGTGGATTAGAATACCTCTTTAGGGAAATGATTTGGCTAACTTCACTAGTATAGTGAGTAGGGGAAAATTCAGCTATCCCACATTCATCACTGTATGCGGTCTAGGATGAATACCGCTTTTATTCAAGACTCACTGATAGTCTTAAAACCTGCTTACTATGAATAACAAAGATGGTTATCATCTTTCTTCAAAGATTCTTAGTAAACGCCAAAGAGAATTAGACAGGGATTAGTAAAAATATGACTACTACATACACTTGGTTGTAGTACTCTTGATGACACTACCCGCAAATAAATTCTGTCACTTATTCTTCGCTGCAATTGATCTAGGATCAACTTACTGAATGTCGCTCAAAGGCATGCGAGAAATGCAAATAAAGAACTCCTATAAAATTGTAAGAGGTCGATTTCCTCAGCATTTTAAAATTATTTATTAAAATAAAAATTAATCTCACTTCACTTAATAATATGTATGTCAGATTCAATGTAAAAATAAAGTTTTACACAATATGGATGCATTTTAGGCTTGTTTAAGTTAATGCATTCATAAGCTATTGCCAAAGAATGAAATGCACACATGTTCCTTATTTGCCCAGAGCATTCACCTTTAAAGACTTGTTTCAGAGACGGCGAAGATGTAAAACTTTGAAAATAATTTCAGGAAGGCCTCATTTTTTTCCGTTAGAATTTAAAGACAGGTTATTCTTAACTATTTCCTTCTCACAAGAAGAAGTTATCTCCGCTTTATGTACATGGTGAGTATGTTTTAATGGTATAAGTAGACTTCAAATTGAAAGGTGAATTGGGAAGGGCCTTTGACCTATTGGCTCCTCTAGCCCTGTGGAAAAGTGTTGCCACTGGTAGTAAAATCACCTTAAACGAAATAGGGTGAGTACATCTCATATTACTGATTTACTGGTAGACTCGAAACTCTACTTAATTACGAAAAATAAGTAACGTAGTCGATTGTTATGGCAAAAATACCTTTGCTTCATCGAAAATCCCACCAAAGAATGTGATATCAGTAAAGGTTTGGCATTCTTTGAAATTTACATCTGCCCTGTGATCCAAGAGCACTCGTGGCAATGTGGCCGAGTGGTTAACGTGTCAAGCTCACATTCTGTACTGTCACGGTTCGACTCCCGCTGGGGGTGTTGATAAGACCGATGCGAGGTTGAAACTGCAGTCCACTCCAATCGGGATGAAAACAACTTTTGGGAAAGCAAGGTTATGTGAAATTGAATTGAAGCGTCAGCTCAACACATATCATTGTGGGAAAATTCTACTACCAGTCCTTCATCACCTTAAACGAAATAGGGTGAATACATCTCATATTACGATACATTTGCCAGATCCAAGCTAAGATTAGATAAGCTCGTTGAATTTATTCCTTAAAAATAGGACGCAGTGCAGTTAAAAATGGTCTGTTTGCAAACTTCGATAGCTAGGCTCAAAACGCATTCGTACCTGGATATACCTCCCCATAGACTTACGCGACAAAGTTTATGCATTATCATATCATTAGTATGTATAGTTACAGAAAGCATCCTCATTACG